TTTTTTTTTATTATACCATCTACCCTTTTCCTACTGGTGTAATGCTGCAAGATGCAGTTGCATTAGCCACTGAATGCTTACCTGTAATTGCATATCCGTTCTTCCAGAGTCAAATCACTTCCACCATAAGGTTTCAGGATATACGGTTTCAAGCCAAAAGCATCATCGGCTAAGAAGACATATGGTGTGACTATGTCTTGACCTGGAAGCGGATGAGCTGGAGGTATGTCAAGAGCATTTACATCTATAAGCTCCTTTAAGTTGCATTTGTTCCACACACCTCCATCGCTGATCCTACCTTGTGTGCCAACATCAACATATCTAGAAAATCAAAATAAAGAAAATGCTTTTAGCCCTTGGTATAATTAAATTAATTAAAAATCTACTAATTATTATCACTTGTTTTCTATTTTGATATACACATTATTGTTAACAAGGCATTGGAAGTACAGAATAGACTTGTTTCTTCCCTTCTGCACATCAACTTACCGAAATGTGTAATTTGCATCCACAACTGCTAAAAGAACAATTGATTCAGTTCCTTTGTAATTATGGTAATGAGAACCACTGTTGATGGGCTTCCTCATCACAATATGCTTTCCATCAATGGCTCCCAAACAATGGGGCACATTCCACCGATCTTGGAAGTGCTTGGCAATAGCCATCCAATGTTCCTTCGATGTTGGCACTTGAAATGTATATTTTAAGGTCTCGTACAAAGCGGCACATGTTTCCGTGACTATGTAAGATATCGTTCTTGCGCCAATTCTGAATTCCCAAGATAAGTCTCTAAATGTACTTCCTGTAGCTAGAAACCGGAGCGTGACAGTCAGTCTCTCAGCGGGAGATATTGGCTTCCCAAAATTTGTATCTTGCTTCTGAATTCTGGGGGAAATTTCATTCAAAAGATGCTCAAACTGGCTTTTTGTTAGCCGAAGCCACCTCCTGGAAATAAACATGCAATTTGTTAATTATATTTGTGCTTTAAAGGGCATCAAACTCCCTACGTTATGTTAATTGCCATGTTAGCCAACGTACCTGTATGAAGTAGGATCCTCGCCTCTCAACTCTAGATTTAAGTTCAAGAAGGCCCCTTTATCTTTTCGTCTTTTTATCCAAGTTTTGGTAGGCCCCCTCTTTCTACGCCGTTTGTTTTCGTTTTGTTTTTCCAGCTCCGCTACTATTATGGCACACACTGCATAAGTTGTTTTATCTTCAGAATCGCCCATTCTTATCGTCGAATAATTACACGATACAATTAATGATCTTCCAGCACGCCTAACTCAAAGGGAAAAGCACGATAACACGTCTTCACATAGATCGCTAAGTTGCCACCTTTTCGAAATTGCTGACCCGGACATTTTCAAATTAGGATGTTATACCGAGGCATTGTAAGTGGGATAAGTTTGGGGGGTTTTTGTTTTGTTTTGTTTTTTTTTTAACTCTTTCCACCTTGTCTGGGTTGAGAAGGCCTCTTTTTGGCAATTAGTTTGTGTGGGGGTGTGAAGGTAGTCTTTAACTATTAAAATAAAATACTCGCAAATATTTTTATAAATTTATTTTGTATAATTTTACAATTTCTACGAAAACGGGACAAATTAATAATTAATCCGAACCATGAATTTAAAAACCGGTATGGTGGCAACACTAGTCGCTAATCTCCCACGATGCAGCATTTTTACGCGAGCAAAGATTGTGTAGTTTGCGGCTGCTTCGTGCTCGCGTAGCTTACCTAGCAAAAATGGCTCATAGCATCATGGGAAAAAAGGCGGGGCTTAGGAGCGCGAGCGAGCGTACGCTCGCTCTCGCATCCTGTAGTTTGCGGCGGCTCTAAAATACAATTTGAATATAGAATACAATACATAAGAGAAGTAATAAGAACCAACTTTGAAAACAGTAGCAGTTATGGTGGCATATGTTTGGTAAATATCTGCATTGTGCATTTACAGAGGTCCGTAGCAGTGGCAGAGGTAATGAATGAGAACGATGCCTGGTGAGGAACTACTCATGCGTGGTGATGGGTGCCACTTGCTCATAAGCAAGTACTAAGTTACAAAAAGAATAAAGTTCTTTGTATTTAAGGAGATCATGTTGCTGACACGGCCAGGAGATGTTTAATTTATGTGCAATTACTTCAATTTCGAGACGTTCCTTTTCAAGGCACACGCATCTGTAAAGATAGTGGTTGGGACCGTCCACCTCTTTACAGATGGCACAAAGTGGAGTACGTTTACCCGTAAAGCGATGGAGATAGCTGGAAAATCTCCCGTGGCCGGTAATAAACTAAGTAAGGAGAGAATTGATATTAATCCGGGTATGGCAGTGGTGCTCGTTGATATTAAATATGAATTGGTGGGTTAGGTTACTGTGGTTGTTGTCCCAAGAGTTCTGCCAGCGGAGAAGAATATCATTATTCTATGGCTGAGCATGTTGTATATGGAATCCAACGTATTATCATTGGCGGCGGCCTTCGCCAGCTGATCCGCTCTTTCGTTTTCGGCAATGCCTTGGTGCCCACGGACCCAACTGATACTGTAACTGTTCGAGGAAAGACAAGTGAGATTTTTTATTGCTGTTGTGAGAGGATGAAGCTGTCTGCTGTTAATGAGAGCAATGGCAGACTGGCAATCTGTGAAAATGGCTATCTGTTTGTTAACGAGATGCTGTTCAGACCAGCCAATTGCCATATGAATGGCTTTGAGCTCGGTCTGAAAGACGCTGCAAAAATTGTGAAGCCTGTAAATCTGATGGTGGATCTCGTGCTTTCCTTTGATGTACGACGAAGACGCAGCCGATGTTTCCATTTAGCCCAGAGCCATACGTGTTGATTTCCACATCAGGGTTGATAGGCGTGTCTGCGCTGATGTAATTGCAGATATAAGGGGGAGTAAGATCAGTGAGCGGATTTATTTTCTCATAATTGTCGGCAGGAATATTGCAAATAGTAGTGCAGATGTCGTGACCCGTTTTCAGCTGCCAAAGCTCATATCTGGCTTGGATGACGTCGATAATGGGCGGTTTTCGGGTAAGAATCTGCAGACTCCCATTGGACGTGGTGCGGTAGGCGCCAGAGATGAGGATCAATGCTTTACGCTAAGATGAGATAAGCTTTCTACGTGGATGTACCTTTCTGGCAGCTCAGCCCTAGCTACCACTTGCATATGTAATGATGGGAGGGAATACGTGATCATATATGATACTGAGGGCAGCAGAATTTAAACCCCACTTCTTACTTGCAAACTGAGAGAAAGCTCGAAAAATGAGTTCGGTTAATTATGTATTTGATATGGTCGTCCTAGCTGAGACGGTGGTCCAGCCAGACTCCAAGATACTTAATAGTTTTCTGTACTTTAATAGATTGATTGTTCATACGGATAGTTGGGGTACGAAGGTATAGATTTGGTTGTCTTGGTTTGTTGAATACTATGCATGTGGTCTTGTTATGATTAAATTTGAGTTTATGCTTGAGGAGGCTCATTACTTCAGCATCTACTGGACTAGAATGAAACTGGCTTACCATAAATGCCAGATTACCGAAAATTCCGGATTATCGGATGCCAGTTTAACAATGCTTCTATTTAAATTTTAAATAAAAACGTAAAAATAATGACAGGCAAATTGCTTTTAAAACAAAATTTTAAAATTCGTATGACAAAGGATAATTTAAACTGTAGAAATAAAAGTGCAGCCAGTTGGCAAGGGACGAACTCACTATCAAACTACCAGTGTTCACTGTTTTATCCGCTCGGTCACTTGTATAACTTTTATCTTATTAACATGTTAAATGCAAAGTAAGGAATTATTTTCTTTTTCTAAATAGCAATTTTCTAGTAAAGAATGTATGGACATTTATTCTTAGAATTAAAATCAAATGAACTGCCTGATAACCGAAGTAATTAAGGCGCCAGCCTACCACTCTCACCAAACATGTGCGCTATGTTAAAGAATAACCGGCGTAACACCGTACAAGCACTAATATTTGAAAAACACTATTACTTTCCTGACTGATACATATATATAATAGGAAGTATGATGCTTGGTCAAAACATGACCTCCCCATGATTTTTACAATTTTGAACTCAGGAGACCTTGAAACGTCGAGAAATGAAGAAAAATTTAGGAGTTTTTTCTGTGTGTATGAGAAGCACGATTTTTTTCCACCTAATTTGAAGTTCAATAACTCCTGAGTCTTTCATCAAAAATTTCTGAAATTTTGCAGAGAGGTTTGTGTATTAGGGTGATTTATGCTGTTATATATTGGTGGTTAAAGATGAAAAAATATGGGGGTGGTCGTATGTCGTATCTCGAGTGTGATCGGACTTGAGATTTTACTTATTATTATCATTTACAAATTTTAATAAAACTCATTTCTACCATGAAAATTAAGCTTTTTGTCATTTTATAATACTTAATTAATAAATGTTTTTAATAAAATGTTGCAAGAGTTGGCGCCACCAAAATTTTAAATTATTTTACTGGGAAAGTTACGAACCTCGTCACTGGATCTTTTAAGAAAGTAATGAACTATACAATAATAATAAACTGACAACTACAACAACTACTGCTTCTACTCCCATATTAAGTGATATTTTCATTTTCAAAATTTCTGGAAAAATTTAAATCAAACTTAACGTTTATGACTAAGTTGTTTTATGATTTTGTTTTTGACTTTCTCTTCATGTATATATATGTACAGTATATATGTATGCTAGAAAACAAATTTCAGAACACTTGTGCATTTAAAGTAGTTAGTGAAACAGCAATTTCTTTTCAATATATTATTTTTTACTACTAAATATAAATTAAAAGTAATAAAATTTCATTTGAAGAACTTTCAAAAATAATGTTTCATCTAACATATTTCTCTGGAAAAAGTTTAGGGCAAGATTATGAAATTGCAACGAAATTAATTTTATTTATAAACTCTCCATACGAAGAGACTTTGCATAAATAAAATGACACTGAGCTGCCATTGTTAATACATATGCACTTCTGAACCACGTTATAATTTTTCATTAGTTGACAATTTATTCCACACGTGGATCAATATTCACTGTTATTTATTTGCTGTAAAACGTATTTAGCCGAAGAAGGTAAAAAATACTTCCTCCATCTATATCAGTGTTTCTCAACGGGGGCAATATCGCCCCATGTGGGCGTTTTTTCATGTTGAGGGGGGCGATTAGTGACAATTTATATTTTGGGAGGCGAAAAACAATTTTCTGGGCGATATAGTAAAACATTATATTAAGAATAATTAGATATTTTATTCGTTATATCGTACAATAATTAAACAAATAACATTATACTAGTCACTAGTCTATTCAATGCAGCACGAATTTTACGTCAGCCTTGGCCCTCGGCATCGGAATTTTGTAATGAAGGGGGCGATGATTCGTTACAGGTTGAGAAACACTGATCTATATGATAATCAATAGTTTTCTAACCAATAAATTGTATTTTGTTATTGATATAGTAACCTATATCTCTACATCTCTAATTCCTATGGTAGACTATGTCTCCATATTAGATTTTAATGTTTAATGTTAATTTAAGTTTTTCATTAAAAAATAATAAAAGTAAAGGCCAACAATGTTGCAAGAAATTTATCGGGCTTTGTTTTATGTAACAAATAAAAATTAAAAAAGTTATTGTCTTGTAAAATTGTAAGAAATGGTGGAAAATATGTGTACTGACTGGCCATTCAATAAATGTAAGATCTACTTCCATTATAATGAATATATATTTTATTTTATTTTTGATTACGTATCATTCTATCCTTTGGGCAAAAAGAGGGTCATGTTTCTTCTTTACCATCGAATTTTAACACAGTAATATTTTTACAGTATAATGTACAGTAATAAAAGAGCATTCTGAACAATATTTTTAACAATGTGATGCAACAATAAGTAAATTTCAATTACAAATCTGTCGTCCCCTCAAGAAAAATGTAAACACTTTTCAATTTGTAAATTGCAAACGAGTCAGTATGTAACCAAAGCAGGATGTCACATTCGAATCGATATATCAAACGTAAAATTAATAATTATAAGGTTAACTATAAACTTCCCATGTGAACAGTCTTTTCATAAACAAGAGGACAATGAGTTGCCATTGATAATTCATACGCACTACCCGAACCTGGTTTTAATTTTTCGTTTTTTGACAATTTATTCCACACGTGGATCAGTACACTATTATTCATTCGCTGTAAAACATTTTCTGCTGAAGAAGACGAGAAATAATCGCACCATTCGGTGTAATATACAGGGAAAGCTGTTATTGGGTCGAAAACTGTAATATTGCAATCGAGCTGTTTTGGCATGTCATCTACAATTTCTTGGTGGCAGAAGGAAGAGATTTCTTTTGTAAATAATAACGGACCGATGCAAGCAAAACAATTACTATCGTATGATTGCTTGATGTATTCCATACACTTATAAAGTATGGTGTGGTTGCGCTCCATTGCGAAAATACCATTACACAATTGACTACTACTTTCCCTAATCACGAAATTCTTATAAGACGGAAAAGTTTTCAGCATGACAATGTCTAGGTCCAAGTATATTCCACCATATTTCCAAATTAAAGCGTACCGAGTGGCATCACTGAGATGATATATTTTATAACTACTTTGATTCCACTTTTTTTGACGATACCATTCCAACAATGGCGTATTTTGAAATAATTTTTCGAAATTTTCCCGCTGTATTATTACATTAGGTAGTATTTCAAAATTAATCTTTATGTCTGAATGTGAAGTAAACATTAATACTTTAATAAGGAATGAAGGGTGATGTCTTGCAGTCGATTCGACTGCACATGCTTGACGAATGTTCAACGAAGCAGAACCTGAAGTTTCCATGAAAAAAATATTGTACGCTTCATGTTTGTATTCTGTAATATAAGGAAAATACTTGTTATTTCATAATTCTGCAAATTAACCCAAAATTAATGGGTTTACTAATTAACTTAAGATGTAACAAAATAAAACGGTTATAAGCTAATTCAATTGTTCATTAAAAATGATCAAAACTACAAAATTTGGCGTAGTTAAAATGATCAAAACTACAAAATTTGGCGTAGTTAATAGAACAGACCATGTAATGGAAGTAACAGATACAGTATAAATATAATATTACAAGCTTATTTAAACAAGAAAAACAGGTTAAGGCTGATTGTAACCTCTTTGTTTATGTACACAATTTTTAGCAGATGACGTTAAAAATTTAATGCTTTCCTAGAGGAAATTCTTTTCTAAAATTCACGAAAATGGCAGTAGATAACCAAGCAATTTTTTGCGTTAGAATCACATTTACTTTTTTGTTAATGAATGGTTTAGAATTTTAAAAGTTAATATTCTTCAATTCTTCACAACATTAAAAATTCATACAGAACTAACGAATTTGGTTTGAAAAATTCCGAACTGTACGTTAATATAATAATCAAATAGGATTCTAATGCAGAAACTGTTTAGTCTTATCTACTTCCGTTTTCATGAATTTTTGAAAAAGGATTTTCCCATAGGAAAAGCACTACATTTTTACCACATTTGCTGAAGATAGTATGCATAACTAAAAAGGCTAAAACCAGCCTTAAATAACATCTTGAATCATATAAATTAATGAATTATTTGGTTTTAAAACGCCTTTAAGTCTTGCTAATATCCAAGGAATCGATTCATTTGGTATCAATATAACATTTTTTGTCTAATCTCATATTATTATTGGTAAATGTTTATATTCTTAGACAAGGATATAACAGAAAATAAAATTCTATTAATTTAACGATAATTAACTTATATAAAATCATTACACGAATCATTTCTTACCTAAATTATAATGATATAAGTCGAAAGACTTCAAACAATAATATGATATTAGTAATATAATGAATTTCAGGCAGATTGCCTTAGCTATTAATTTCTTTTTATTCTGAAAGAAAATAGAAAAATACTATTTTATATTTAGTTCATAGGACTTAATTATTTTTAAATATTAATAACATTTTTTCATATAACTATATATAAAAATTGAAATATTTTAACAAAAACCATATACAGGATGTTTGAAAAATACACGGCATAACCTCATAAATGTCTATTATGCCTGGCTGCAAGTTTTAATCATATTTTAAATTAATTTCATTTAAAATATATGCTCTCCACCTCAAATTAGTAGAGGCTTGACCCTGTATACATCATACGTTTCCGTTAGAAAGGAAGTCGTGCCGGTCATCTATGTAACGCCTTTCAGGAGAAAATATTTGAACTGAAATAACGTGACCGGTTTGAATCAAAAGTTTGTGTATAGTACGGGCCTCCTGTTCCCTACGATTTCTATATCGTATCTTGATTCTCATGTATCTTACTTCTGGAGATTAAGGAAGAATAGACGGACGGACAGACGACGGATTACAGTGGCAATTTATAGGTCTACAATTTTTTTAAACTACAGCTCAATCACCAAATTCTGTCGGTACCCGTGGGCGATAAGACATTCCCATATCATAAGCCAAGACAGACTATTGTAAGGTGATATGGACAGTTAGGTGTCATAGAAAAACCTCCAAAACTCGGAAATCAAACATTTTGAGACTTGTGTTAATATAAGCTGTTTTTATTTTTCACATATGAGAAACTCATTCTTAAGATTATGCCGTAGTCTTTTTGAGACACCCTGTATACTGATTAATACATAGTGTCAGATTTTACAAATGGCGTCATTTCATTCAGCATATTCTTACCTCTATGTTGCGCGTCACATTGTAATCACACACCATGTGTTCGGTTTGTGTGAAATCACAATAGTGAATTTCCCGAAAGATAAATAAAAATGTCTCATAAATAACTAGAAGTTTATGAATATGTTAAACATAAACGCTTTCGGGAAATTCACTATTGTGATTTCACACAAACCGAACACATGGTGTGTGATTAAAATGTGTTAACATATTCATAAACTTCTAGTTATTTATGAGACATTTTTATTTATCTTCAAAGACTCAACAAGATGTAAGAGAACATTCATGAGTAAAAACATTATTCAGCATTCATTCAATTTATATTTTTATAATCATGCGATCAGAAAATTGAATGATTTTATTGAAAAATTTGTGCAATTCATGAAAATGATTCTTGCACTCTGCTTGCATGTTAAATTCTTAGTTTTATTAGTCTAAGAAAAGTTGAATAGCAATATACAGCACACCTCTTAATTAAATATTTATATTCTCTTAATGAATAATATTTGAAAATACAAGTAAATACTTTCTTGAAATCGTGTGAAAATGCGGATGTAAGTTTTTAACCCAATACTCGCGTAATTAAAATCAAATCAAAATATATTTTTAACTAAAAGTTTTTATGTATTAAAGATAGCATATTTTATTATTGACCTTTAAAATGTATAAATTTTTCACTGTATTTTAATATTAATATCTTAATAAAAATTTAAATTTTAAATTTGAATTTTTGAGAACAATTCAACAAAGTATTAGAGCAGATGGAGGTGAGATACTACTGAAATGTGACTTCTCTATAAAACATGATAGTGCCGATTGTTTGTTTATTAAGTTATGGCAACGCAACACTTGGGAGATTTGCCTAAAGAGGATGCCTTCCAGGAGGTCTTTATTAAGGGTAACTGGTCCCCTATTTAGGCATTACAGACGTGGAGAAAACCCGGAAGACTCTACGTGGTCAGCCTATCCTGGCGAGGTGCGAACCCACGACCGAACTCCTAGTGTTCAGGGAACGAAATCGCTTTGCCACTGGTGAGTCGATAGTGCCGAGAGTTGGCGTGTGATGAGAGGTATCATGCAGATGTAATTGTCTATTGTAGTTGTAATTGCTATATTTTTCAATTCTCGAACAAAAATCAAAGAAAATTACACCACTTTTTCAGAATTATTCCTGCAGAAATATCTTATAACATGAATATAAATGTTAATGAGTTAGCTGATCAATTCATGCATTCTTAAGAATCTCCAAATTATATTTTCATATATATTAATTAATTGTTCCGAGGTATTAATCTGAATAATGTTTTCAGGCATCTCATCCAATAATCTGGGCGAGACGCCATTTATTTTCAGGATAGAATGCCTATTATTCAGTAAAAAATGTCCGCTGTTTTCTAAACAATTTGCAAAATAAAAGATGAAGAATCTGCAAAATAAAGAATTACTAACACATCCATTTATCATGACGTAGTTTCATAAATACAAATAAAACATGTAAGTACTGTACAGCAGAAAATAACTATAAATATTTCAGGAATACGGAATTCTATATCGAAACAATAGACAGAGACTGGTAAATAATGATGATAAATGATCTAAAAAATAAGCTCAATAAGTTTAATTTTTTAATTTAAATAAGATCATTTATATCTAATATTAGCATGAATATATAACTTCAATGTACTAGGCATCTTATCCTGACTCTCGGCATACCATCCTGTAAAATTGATGTACAGTATAAATGTTAATCGAAAGAGCAAAACTTTTGCACGACAGAACATAATTTTGAGAAATATTGAAGAGCATTTTATAGTAATCGAAAATAAAAAAGATCAACAAAAGAAAAGTCTTCACGTAATGGAACTTACAAGTAAAAACCTAGGGATCCTGTTCAATTTGCATTATACCTCGTGCAGTATTACAAATTGCATACCTAAGCAAAGTTTTAAGCCTAAACATCATATTGATATCTAAAACAAAATTGCAGTTCTCTATCAAAGTAAATCAGCAACGAGTTGCTCAACTTTCCTGGAAACATTTAAAATTTTTTGGTGCTGCCATCTGTTATCAGATTTTATTTTTAAAATTTTTTATATTTTTAAGTACAGTAGAACCTCGATTATCCGGACTAATTGGGGATGAAGGTAGTCCGGATAAGGAAAAATCCGGATAATCAAAACAAATACTTTAATTTGTCTTTTAATGATAATACAACACGTTTTCTTTTCGATGACATATCGGTAATATTAAAAGTAAATACTGTATTTAAATCGTGATCAAATTTTCAAGAAACAAACGTTCGTATTGAATTTGGACTACTACTGACCAACGCTAACAGACTACCTATTGTTTAAAAGGCCCTCTGGTGGCGCAAGAAGACGGATTTTATAAAATAAAAAGCAGTTGAAACTGCATTTTTATGAATAAAAATTTGACAAACTATTTATCGTTTTATGACGAGTAAAATTTTTTCGTCGCGTTCGCGGCTTTTAAGTAATGCATAAACCTTCGAGGCGCGAGGCCCTTCGGACCGCGAGGCATAGGCGGTGGCCCACGTCGTCCATGCCTTACGCCGCCCTTGGTCATAGAAATGATGTAATTTGAATATAAATTATTTATAAATACGTATGTCAAGTTATATTTTTATTACTACGTAAAATATATTTAAGAGTTTACGACCACTGTGCTGGGTGAGACGTTGTTGAAACAAAAAAAGTTATGCATTCCATCACGTACATAAACAGTGTCGTAATTCGCCAAGTGCAAATCAGCAAATTCGTAAAATTTTTGTTTATTTTGAACAATCCGGATAATCGAAAATCCGTATAATGGAGGTCCGGATAATGGAGGTTCTACTGTATTATGAAATGGCAAAAAGCTTAATTTTAAGGGTAGGGATGACTTTTATAAAAAATTGTAAATGCTAATAACGAGTAAAATCATCATTATTCTGATCCTACTTGAGATACCCTCTGAACTCAGCAAAAGTAAAAAAAAAAAAAATGGGGAAAATTTTGCAAAACAAAGATGTATGTTTTTGTATGTGTTGGCATATATTTTATTTAATACGTTAGGATGGGATAAAAAATTAAGAAACGACATTTGGCATGGTAACTTGTATACAAGAGCCATTGATACTATT